GGTTTTCCGAGGCAGGGTTTCTCTGTGGCTTTAGAGCCTGTCCTGGAACTAGCTCTGTAGACCAGGCTGGTTTCGAACTCACAGAGATCCACCTGCCTCTGCCTCCCGAGTGCTGGGATTAAAGGCGTGCGCCACCATCGCCCGGCCAGGATCTTTTTTTTTAATTAAAAAAGACTCATACATTGCAAGTCTTTACACAGTCCTTAGGATAGTACAGTTGCTGCCAGTGGTGTCTCTGTAATATGGTTGCTCTCCCCCCCCCTCCACGACCACATGAGATATAGATTCTGCTGAACACGAGAGGTTTGTGGTCACCCTGCTAAGAGCAAGAGGCTCCACCTGTGCTTATCTCAAGCCCTCCTTCCTGAGCATGTCCCCAGGGGATTAATGACATGACAGTGCTTGGCACCAAGTCCCATGCAGGATGCACCTGGTAGGTGCCTGTCAGTAGGCATAGACCGGGCTGGGGCAGTTTCCCGCTAAGCATGCACCTATGCAAAGCTGTAATTTAGAGGCTGAGCCTTGTCTGGGTGTCTGTGTTGGTTTGCAGGCTTACCATGCAGAATGGCGAGGCATTAGACCAGTCCACGCTGTGGCGTCACCTACGCAGAGCGTAAAGTTTCATGGCAGCCTTTTTCATAAGGATTTGGTGTCACTTCTCTTAAACTTCCAACTCCTTAAAAAGGCCAAGAGTGTCTGCTTCGTGACGGCAGTCAGCTAATCCTGCTGCCTCCATGACATGACCATGCACCCTTTTTACAGTGAGAGGCCCCAGGATTTGGGTAAGTCTTGACCACAGACTGTCTCAGATTGCTATGAGCCCCTGGCTCAGGTTCCCCTCTCCATAAAGGAAAAGAGTATAGCTGTGCTCCACTTCTGCTCTGAGGTCAGTTTCAAGGGGTTGTGTTTGCCTTCCTCTTTCCTGGTAGGTGAAGATGGCTTGAGCTTCTGATCCCCCAGCCTCCGCCTCCCAGATGCTGGATTACAGGCATGCCCCCACTACGTTCGCAAAGAGAATGTTTTAGTAGAGTTCAGTGCAGCCAGATGCCAGCCATTGTTGTGGGTCATCTCTAGTTTAATCCCTTCACCAGTTTAATGTAACCATTGTTTTCAGCCACCTTTGAGGTTCTTCTGTGTGCAGATAGCATATGGGATATGGACCGGGCAGGGAATAAAACCCCGAGGCAAGGCAGCGGTTAGTAACTTGTTCCTGCCAGCCACTCCTGCCCTGACTATGGCTCCCTTCTGCCCTCATGGTTTGATCTTTCTGCTCTGGTTGGGCTCTTTTGTTTCTATTCATTGAATAACGAGTCCTGCACAGGTCAGATGGAAAATGGTTCCTCTCCCTGCCTACCATCGCACACCCCAACTACTGTGCTTTTACAGCAGAATTAGTGGGAAAGGGGTGCGGATCCACAAAAAGGTCACACACAGCTCACCGGTTTTGCAGAACACCTCTCCTTTGCATGCTTGAACCTTTCTTGTAAGCGCTTAATTTAGATTATGCATTAGAGAAGTCTGCAGAGTCGGGAAACCAGCATTGTAGCTACAGCCGTATGAAATCACAGTTCGTGAACACAGATCTGTGCGCTTTCTCCCATAATTTGCTTCTATTCTTTTGAACTCAGAACAGATGTTCACATGCAACCCCTTAGCATCTTTTCCAAACTGGACACTGTCCAGCAGAGCAGTCCCCACCCCTCTACATCGACTTCTGTGTCACCCTCTGTGGTCTAGCTTGGCCTGCACAGGACAAGAAGGGAGGGGTGGGTGGGGCTGCCAGTGACTCCCTGCTGTGTCCCTTAGCACTTGGCCAGATTTGTGTCATCCTGGTTCATCCTCAGCCTGCAGAAATGGATCATCGACCTGGCCATGGTAAGTGGTGCCCCTAACGGACGGAGACTGAAAAAGTAGGTACCTTCTTTTTGCCCCCGGATCGCTTTAGGTTAGTGTTTCTCACCTTCCTCATATTGTGGTGACCCCCCAACCATAAAATTATTTTCACTGCTGCTGTGCTCTCCGTTGGTCTCAGGTGGCTCCTGTGAAAAGGTCATTAGATATCCCCCAAGGGATAGAGACCCACAGGTTGAGAACCACTGCTTTAGCACGTGGGGTTTCACCCACGTTTTGCAGCTGTTGGGGAGGATGAAAAGGCAATGTCAGCCAAATATTAAGACATTATTTTTGAAAGGTTTGGGGCTCAAGGGGAACACTAAGGTGAATCCCCCTTTTATTTGTGTATGGGGGTGGGGATGCATGCAGAGATTTGTAAGCCATCTTCTTCCATCTTGTTGGTTTCTGGGACTGAATTTAGGTCATCAGGCCCCACAGCTATCTTCCCCACCCACTGAGCCACCTTGCCATCCCTGACAGCTTAAGTTTTAAGATAACCCTCCCGTTTTCCTCCCACTCTGTGACTCCTCCCTCAGCCCCCCTACAAGCGCTCACTGTGCACCTGCTCTCTGGTAGACACATGCAGCTGATGCACATCCCTGCCTGCAGTGGACTGTTTTGTGGGATAACACAGTGTGTACTGACACTACCAGGGTTCTCTTATGGCCTGCTCCCAGACCACCCCCTTGATCTCAAAGTTGGTTTTTTTCTTGAAAAGCGAACATGTCACTAACTTGTCCATTTGGGCTATACCTAAGCCACTTATGGTGTTCCCTCCCCTTTTGGCCCCTCCCCACCACACTAAGCTGGTCCTGCCACCTTTCTTTGCTTTATCCAGCACCCCAATTTCTCAAGAGCTTCCTTTTTCACAGCATTCCTTGCTTGGGTCTAGGCTTCCTGCAGGTCATCTGTGCCCAGCTCCTATTGTGATTTTTGTCTGTTTAAGCCTGGCAAAGGCATTGCTCCCTCCTCTGCCCAGATACACTCTGACACTCCTTTCTCGGCGACTCTTTCCCGTGTAGCCCCATCTCCCACCCATAAGGACTTCTGGAGGCCAGCCAGGTGCCCACACAAGGAGGAAGCAGAGCCTGTCAAAGGCCCTGTGACTTGTCACTCATTTGAAAGCCAGCAGTCAGGCCCCATGCCTCTCATCTCTCAAGTTTCACTACAGATCAGGATCTCACTTGATTCTCTCGCCTGGCTTGCAAACACACCACTTTCTGTGGCCCTTCCTGACTTTATCTCCCTGACTTCTGAATGCTGCTCATGCCATTCTGCCCAGCCTAGATGACTGTAGTGGTCTCCCTCTGGCCTGAGCAGTGAGCATGATGGGCTGACAGCCAATTAGCAAGGCTTTCTCGTCTGAGAGATAGCAGACAAGAATGAGGAACAGTTTGGAAGTTGTTCTATTTAGCGAAAGGCTAGGATACACCATACCTATTCTGGGGAGAGAGTATGGGGAGAGAGTAGAAGGCAGGGTGCATCTGCAGCCAGGCCAGTTCATGCCCTATCAGAGAGGCAGATGAGCGTCATCCTTCACCAAATTGAAGTTTCAAACCTTGGCACATTGGAGGCTGCTAATCTTGAAAGTTTGGCTTAAAAGGCACTGTATCCGGGCTGATGCAATGACTCAGTGGTTAAAGGTGCTTGCTGCCCAGCCTGATGACCCGAGTTCAATTCCCAGGGCCACAGAACTAGCTTTCACAAGCTTTGGCACCTCTCCAGAGAATAAACTGTGTTTACAAAGGTACTGCATCCACTCCTCTGTCCTCTCAGGCTCCTGACTTTCTCACTTTTTTTCCACAACAGAACTTATGCACTGTCATCAGTGCAGCCAGTAAGTTTGCCCAGCTCCAGTATCTGTGGAAGGTGCAGGACTCGGAAGCCGTGAGTGCACTGTCCTGGGGCCTCTCTGCCTACACCTGTGCAAGTAAGGCCACCACTCTCCAGGGACATCAGAGTCTTCTTTTGTGTACTAATACTTTTGCAATTAACTATGCAACAGAACCTGTTAAGGAAAGAAAGGTACCCCTGTGTACAAGGGGCCGTAATGCAGATTGTGGCTTCAACTGTCACCCAGGGTCCTGTTCACTACAGAGAAAAGAGCTAACAAAAGAATTCTGGTTAGACAGGAAGAATTTGTCTTCTTCAAGTCTTAGTTTTGTTACTTGTGAAAAATGGGGTGGAGTTCAATGCTTAAAGAATTTCTGCCAAATGTGGTAATGTGTGCCTTTAATCCCAGTGCTCAGTATTCGAGGCAGGTGGGGCTCTGGGATTCCAAGATCTGCCAGTGACACACAATGAGACCTTGTCTCAAATTTGCATAATTTTAAAAACATTATTTTTAATTTTATGCATATGGTGTTTTACACCGAAATTTATGTATGTGTACCACAGGCAAGCCTGGTGCCCTCGGAGGCCAGAAAGGGGTCAGATTCTCTGTGACTGGGGTTATATGCTTCCACATGGGTGCTGGGAAGTGATCCCAGTTCCTCTGGAAAAGCAATCAGTGCTCTTAATCATTGAGCCATCTCCCCAGCCTATTTACACACATACACACACACACACGCACACGCGCGCACACACACACTTTAATTAGTGGGAGCCTTTCTTCAGTAAAATAACTGGAAGCTCAATATGCAAATGAGACTTGAGACTGTTTTTGTTGTTTTGGGGGAGGGGTGAGCACAAGGAGGGATGGGAGCCCTCCCAGGTAGTGCGCTACTGTTAGAAATGCTTCTTAGAGAAGCTCCTACAGACTGGGCCTGGGCCAGGGCCAGGGTGTATAGCTGCTCATTAGAGGTTTACACAATACAGCATTAACAAGGGTCCCCTATCAAAGTCATTCAAGAAGTTAACGTATATTATGTAGTAAAATAGAAAGGAATGAGCTAAATAGAAATACAAAATGTGTGAGAAGTTACATATTGCTATGAATTTTCTTTTACAGCACGAATAATAACAACTTTAATGACCACCAATGATTTCACAAGTAAGCAAAACTTCCTTTTGACTTCCTGGGTTTTGCTTTGTTTTTGTTTGTGTGTGTGTTTGTGTGTGGGGGGGGGTAACTTTGGTCTAACACAGAACGCATCATAAGGCTTAACAGACCCATTTAGTTCAATTGGGCTATGGATTCAGAGGACAAAGCATTAGTCTTCAACAGTGACTGTCTCTATTATGCTTCCACTCCTTGCAGTCCTTGGGGAGATATGCCCCAAGATATGCCCATGGGAGTCAGTTCTCATCTTGGAGTTTCTACTTCAACAAGGAAACTGGACAGGACTCCCACAATTAACTGTTGAAGTATGCCGTGAACTGGGTTTTCAGAGTAGGGCAGCTGGGTGTGGTGGCTTGCATCTATAATCCTGTATACTGAGGCAGCAAAGGCAAAAGAGCCAAACCAGCAGGGGAGACCCGGTCTCTAAAACAAGAGAGACTAGCAGGGTGGCTGAGGAACCCTTCCTACTCTGTGGGAGCAGAGAGAGTCATCTAAGTGAGGCCTTCAGTGCTGAATAAAGGTCTGATCAGAGGAGAACACATGTGACCAGGAGCAAAGAAGGTGCCAGGGCTGGCCACACTGAGCAGTGAGGCTGGCAGGGGCCAGAGAAGTCAGAACTGCAGACATACCTTTGAGTAGTAAGACACCTCCAACTATGTTTTAAAGCAGGGCTCATGTAGCGCCATTTGCTACATGCTCACACAGGAAGGTAGACAGGGCTGTGTGTGTGCACACACCAAGAAGCTGAGAGAAGAAAATACTTTGGTTAACTGAACGAGAGTTTATCCCTTACGCTCTTTTCAACTTCCAACACAGCATCTTTGAAAAGTGAAGAAACAGAAACCTATCCAATGACTATTAGAAAATGTCCTCAGCTGGGTGGTGGCGGCGCTCGCCTTTAATCCCAGTGCTCCGGAGGCAGAGACAGGCGGATCTCTGTGAATTCGAGGCCAGCCTGGTCTACAGTGCTAGTTCCAAAGCTACAGAGTAACCCTGTTTCAAAAAGCCAAAAATGTCCTCAACACTAGGCTTTTTATTGAGAAAGCAAGCTCCAGAAGAGTGAAGTCCCTTTGGGGAGGTTTATCAGCTCTGACTTCAGTGGCGGGATAAAAAAGGAGACAGACCTAACTCTCCTCCATGGGACTTGAGTTCACAGAGGGAGATGGATGTAATTAAAAAGCAGAGGGCCCACATATAAAAAGTTTATATTTAAAAGACCAAGAATGCTCCCACTGCAGTCTGTACTTGTCACCACTGTTCTGAGTGACTCGCTTTTAGAAACAGCATGGCCAGCCGGGCCTGTGGTAGCACACACCTGTAACCCCATCACTCAGGCAGAGGCAGGCTGATCTCTGTTTGAGGCTAGCCTGATTACGTAAAAAGTTCCAGGACAGCCAGGAGCTACATAAAGAGATCCTGTCCAAAATAAAAAGTGTGGCTAGTACGCTGTTTGTATTTTATCATTACAAAGACATCTCAAAAGTTGGGTGGGGCTGCAGTTCATTTCATAAAGTGGCTTCCCATGCATGTGGGGAGCCCTGGCTTCAATCCTTAACATAGAAATCAGGAGTTTAAAGTCACTGTCAGCTAGAGTCAGAGAGACCCTGTCATAAAACAAACACAGTCTTCAAGGGCATGTCAACGCCCTTGTTCTGTCTGTCGGTCGCTTTTTCATGGTTACTTATTATATAACATGTACCGACCCGGGGCTGTTTTCTCAGGAATACTTTCATGTGATGTGGAGTCTTGGCTGTGCCACCCAGGTTGGCTTTTCCCTTGAGCCTCTAGCCTCTCATGGGTCCACAAGCAGGGTCCACCATATTTTACTAGAAGGGTCTTTGTAGAAAGCAGCATTCTGAGACACCTATGTCTTCAAGATGTAAGTAAAGTGGTCTTGCATGTCTTAGCCAGAATCACATTACTTCAACGAAGCAGCAAGGACGCATGGCCAAACGCCCAGGTGGGCACTTCTGCAGGGAAGTCCTTTCCCAGGAAATGTCTGAAAGCAATCTTGTTCTGAGTCTCATGATCTCATCATTTCGTTTGGGGTTGGGGCAAACCTTATGTAGGCTTCTACTGAATGTTGGTTTTTTTTTAATGTTGGAACTTTCTTTTTATTTCAGTTCTTACCCGTTTTGTGATCATGTTGGCTTTAAATATATGGGTAACAGTAACAGTACTGCACTACCGGAAGCCTGTTACCAAAGCTGAATGATGGATGTATTCCTTCTACACACAGTGGACTTCAAATAACTCAGCCAGGGGATGCAGCGTTGCTTTCCATTGCTACATTTAAAGTCTTTTACTAGTTAATCATATCAAAAACTTTAAATCAGACTTGAAAAGCCTCTTAGCTGGATATGGAGGTGCAAACTTACAATCTAGCACTTGGGAGTTTGAGGTAGCTTGTGCTACATGGCAGACGAGACTCAGAAGGAAAAAGCCACTTGTTTAAAGTTGCCCATTTCCTTGCCCTGCACCCACAGATTGTGGTAGGACTTAGATACTGGTTTTGTGTGTGTGTGTGTGTGTGTGTGAGAGAGAGAGAGAGAGAGAGAGAGACAGACAGAGACAGAGACACAGAGAGAGACAGAGAGAGAGACAGAGAGAAGGGTCTTACTATGTAGCCCGAGCTACCCTTCAACTTGTGATCCTCCTTCCTCCGTCTTTTGAGCAGCAAGAATGCTGGACTACAGAGGGAACCGACCACACCTGGCTTGACACCCGCAATGGTGGATGCTGCCCAAGAAACCCTTAAAGTCATGACTAAGTTCTTTTAGAGTCTTAAATAGTTTTCCCACAAGAAGTGGGGTCTGCTTAGTCACAACCGGCAGTTTAACCCTTCCATGACCAAGGGCTTGGCCTTGTATGCATCCCTTTAAGGCAAGCAAGGCTATCAGAATGCTCCCACACTTCACAGTGTGCCTTAAGGAGTTCCAGACAGAGCTCTGATCTCTGTTTAGGTGAGGAAATCTCAATGGCCTTCCAGATTTAAGCACAATGCAGTTTTTATTTTTATTTTTTTATTTTTTAAAGAAAGGGCTGTACCTCACAGTTACATTGCTGGAACTTAGTACAAGTTTTAGCTACTGCAAGATATGCATTAAAAAGTGTTGTTAAATCATACCCAATTCTTGGGTATTTTATTCTTACTAAAGTAACATATCTTAAGCACTGTTCACAGTACTTCCTCTGATGTTTTCTACACCTGACACTTAGAAGTGCACTCTCTTATATGTGCATGTCATTATTCTGCCATACTGTCAGTAATGATGTTTACTGGAAAATGCTTAGTTTCTTGTATAAAATAAGACTTTCATTTGTTGAATTCCACTGATCTTAACTGTCATGAATTTTCAGTTATGTAGGTAAAGCTCCTCAATAAGCTAGCTAATTTTGTTAGGACGATTGCCCTGGACCCAGGAGAGAAATTTTACATCTAAACATAAACCATCCTATTGTTATTTCAACCAGTGTCAGAAAACAAGACCCAAGTTCATCTCTCACACACTGATAATCAGACCATTAGTTTAATATAAATTATGGTCTTATCCCAACAAGAGTTTTAGGTATATTCAAACAGCACTTTTATTTTACCACTGCTTACAGTACTTCTTTTAAATAAAAAAACTTCCCCTTTTGTAGGCCAAACTGGCCTCAAACTCAGCTTTCTGCCTCCACCTGTTCAGCAAATCCCACCTCTGGAGGGAACACCTGGGTGACTGTAGCCGTCTCACATGCTCTACCATCTTTCAAACCGACAGTCCTGAAAGGCAGACACGGTCTCCAGATGAGTTTATTCACAGAATACCCGACCTGAGACCAGAGGAAGCACCTTCTAGAAGACGCCCACCACTCACTATTTCAGACAGAAAGGCACCCTGCAAGCCCACAGTGACTCAGGGGCAGAAGCGTTCCTCTATGATGACATCACCCCACCTATCCACACCCTTTAGAGACACATTAAGAAGCTGCAGCACTGCACAACTACTGCACAGGAAAAGATGCTTACATTTAGGTTCTTTTATTTATTTTTCTTAAACAAAAAGCAGGCATAAAAATACAGTTACATTAATACAAAGATGCAGCAAAATAAAAAATAAATCAAGAGGGTATGATTTTTTGTTTAGGGGGACAGCTGATCAAAGATGACTCTTTAAATCATGCAGTTTATAACTTATTACATTTCTAAACAAAAGTCACCACAGGGAAGGGAACAAGGCAAGGCCCCAGGGCACAACACTCAGCACTGTCACACAGCGCTTGTCAAAGTGCTTTAACATTGGCTGTGGCACCTCCACGAGCCAGGGGAGCTGAAGCCACCTTCAGGCAGGAAAGGAGAATCAGTAGCAGTCAAGGGGCCTGAGAGCTCGGAGGCTACTTGTTCTACTTGGGGTTTCAGCATGCTGCTCTGAGCATCTCTGTAAGGTAAGTTGGTGTCTGAGATTCTTCACATCACCCCGGGAATCCTAACATACTGATGGCAGCAGCAGGAACCTCAAGCACTTCTCACCAGATCTACACATGAACTGATGCAGAGCCTCCTCTAGGATCCATGGCCTCCCAAAGGTCGGCCAGAAACACCAGCCTTTCCTTGGGATTACCAGCTCACTTATCCTTTAGTTAACTGGGGCATTTGAAACTTTCAACTGAACTTTTTTTTTTTTTTTTGCTTTTCTAAAAGCAATGGTTAAAATTTAATTTTACATTAATTTTCATCAGTAATACCGGAACTTAGTTTTTCTTTTACTTCTGTTTTTATTTCCACAAAGCAAAAGTGTCCAACCAAGGAAACTTGGCATTCCTTTCTTTTAGATCCCAATTGGAAGTATTTATGGCTCTGAGACAAAATGAATAAAGGAAGCAACATTTGCTCTGATAACCATCTATCTAGAAGGTTTGGGAGCCTCAAGAGAAAGCAAAACTGTCACAAAATTAGGTTGCTCTTGTAATGACCATAGGGTTGGGAAGAAAACTGGCAGGTGTGTGCACTGACGTGCATGCAAATGACAACAGAGAAAAACAAATCCCGTCTGACTTCTCTAAGGTCAGCTTTTTTACTCAAAATTCTGTTACTTGAACAAATGACCTTATAAATCCCTATGTTAAATCTCTCTATGGAGAGATTTTTTTTTGCCCCTCAGAATGTTTTATTCCCCGGAATCCTTCACATTAATTGCCTCGTACAGTTGCATCACACCATGATTCTCCAATCTCTAATACATATATACACGCACAGCATCCAAAATTTAAACTCCTGCCTTTTTTACTCAAATACTTCAATTATTCATTTGTAAACTTGACATTATTTCACCTTAATAAAGTTTATTAAAAATATATATATATATACTCTCCAATTCAGAATAGGATAGAACCTCCCATAGTGTAACAAAATCTTTATATAAAATATTAATTCAGTCTCCTTTTAAACAACTCTAATGAATGGAAATAGTTCTATATAAATTTTATATATTTTCATTTTTAAATCTGAAGAGAAAGGGAGGGAGGGAAGGGGGGAGGGAGGGAGGAAGGGAGGGAAGCTGTGTTCTCAACCAGAGCTACAGAGCACAGCTTGCTTCCAGAGAAATGGCATGCACATCTATTAAGAGATGGAACGAAAGATGCAACTGGGCCACCTGAAAGTCACAGGATTGGGATTTAGTATACCAGTAGGCCAAAGGCCACTATTCCATAATAAAATCTATGAGGATCGAACTTTTTACAACATTTCTACACTGACCCCAGAGGGAAGCAATGAAAACTGTCTCCTGGCTTCACTGAAATAGGCAAACATTTCAATATCATATTGAACTTTGCATATGTACAGACCCTGATGCTGCCCACTGCTACACTCTGCTGTGGGGTGAAGCACACTTACCTGGGCCCACAGCACAACAGGACCTATCCTGCCTGTTCTCTAACCTCAGCAGCATTTAACAATGAGAATCAAAGTAAGCGCTTTTGAGGCTGCCTCTTCCCAAATAACAAAGCTGATATACCACCATACAGTTGTTTCAGGATCACATTTAAATATTAAAATATATATACAATACATGTTAGTTTTCTTAATATTTGAGACAATTTTTGAATCTTAAATGAAAATGTGAAAAACTGCCTTTACCATAAATAAAAATGTATCTGGGGTAACCAGCAAGTTTAAAGCAAAGGAGATAGTTTGTAGTCACAGACTAGCTGAAGCCTGTAAAAAGGGATGAAATAATAACAGATGTACATCACACACGTTAGTTCCAATGTTATCCGTTATTGTTTCTAAGACCAAATAGGCTGACACTGACACAACCACTGTGTGTAAAAGAGTGCACTATTTCCCCACAGAGCGAGCTGCAGCCTAAGAGCTGGTAAACACTTGTTCTTTCTTTTCTTAAATATAGAAAAGGGCTGAGATTTGGGGGGCAGGGAAGAAATTAAATTAAGGCATTCAAAAATGGATAAAGTTGTCTACCACAGGCATTACGAAACTGGAATAATTAACTTCAAACTTCTTATTACAGTTAACTGTTTACACAAACATGCATCTCCTATCAGGTACATGGATGAAGGATATAAATTCCAACAGTATGGTTTTATACAAGTGCATAGTTGCAACTGAAGTAATGATATCTGATTAATGTGTATAAAAAATAAAATGGTAAGTTAAAAATACCTTCTTGCAGTATTACAGTACAATGTGCTTTTATGTGTGGTGTGTGTGTATATATATGAGGCTCAACTCATATGTACATACATACATGAACACAACATCATGGTCACTTCTTAAATATGCAGTCAGCATCACTGTAGTGGGATCCATTCCCAAATTCTTTTGGCCGATGTGCCGGTGGAAACCCTCTGTTGAATCCAAAATATGATTTCTTTAAGCTCTTCTCAACCTTTCTGTGCAATGTAGTGTGACTGCCAAGAGCTTGCAAGTCTTGAAGAGTTTGCATGACACCTTTCCTCACCAATCACTGCTGTTCGGCTTGTTTCAAAACAGCCCAGAAAACTTCTCCATGATGTAAAAATGATTTAGGGGAAACGTGTTTGTGTGTGTGTGTGTGTGTGTGTGTGTGTGTGTGTGTCAGTCTCTCAGTAGAATACAGCTTTTTAGTTAAGTTTTGAGACATCATATTTCAGTCTTCTGGCTGGAAGAATACGATCACCTAAATAACTGCTTTCATAGAAGGCAGTTAGCTAGAAAGGAAGGAAAATAATGTTAGTTGATACATCCAAGTTAAGAGAAATTAAATTCCCTGAAAAAAAATTTTACTTTTATCATTAAACTACATTTTCTGTATTTCTAACACTCAATTCATGCATCAACATACTTAATTCTATTACTTTACTTAGTCTTAGGTACATGCAATTACATTCTTTCTAAATAAATGGACTTTCTAAGACCCATATCGGCCATAAACATTTAATGCAGTTAATCAGTTATATTAGGGTTAAAACACTGTGCTAAAGCAGTGGTTCTCAACCTGTGAATAATGACCACTTTGGCAAACCTCTATCTCTAAAAATATTTACAATGCATAACAGTAGCAAAATTGCAATTATCAAGTAGCTACAAAAATAATTTTATGGTTGGGGGTCACCACAGCATGAGAACCACTATACTACAAGGATCTTGTTTGAGCACTGATATATAAGCTGCCTTATATAGCCAAAAAAGCAGGATTTCTGGACAGGCTTTACATAGTTAGTTACAGGACCTCAAGTCACACTTTCCATATCTATAAAATAGGAATAAAGGGCTAGACTCTAGCCTCTAGAGTATAGCTCAGGGGTAGAACACTTGTCTAGCAAGCCCAAGGCCCTGGGTTCCATTCTCCCCTGCCACAAAACAAAACAACGCTAAAAGAGGAACAAATACACTGTAATGTGTGTGTATAAAGACAGTCACAAGCCTATATACAGAGGTCACAGTATCACATGATCTAAGTACATGCCATCACAACATGCTCAGTTAAGACAAATAGTTGTCTACTTGAAGATTTAAAGTCACGAGGTTTAACTTTCATTCAGTCTTGTTATTAAGGAAACCATTCTGAACACTTTTCTGTCCTCTGAGGCAAGGTCTCACTTGCACTGGTATGGACCTCACAAGCCTTGTCTCAGCCTGTTGATTGGGAACTGTGGCCTCGCGTATTGCAATGACAAGGTCTCATGCAACCTAGACTAGCCTCAAATTCACTATGTAGCTCGAAGATGACCTTGAATTTGCCATTTCTTGGCTCCTCACTGTTCAAGTGCTGGGATTACAAGTGTGCCAAAATGCCTGGCTTTACAATTCTTAAAAGCACAGAATTGTTCACAGCATGTCACTCATATTCTTCT